ATATTTTCATTTACTTTTGTATTATAGAATTATTGTTTCATAATACAAGCTACAGAAAACAAAACTATGAAATCTTGTTGGGGAAGAGGGAGTAAAAAGTTCAGAAACACTGTTCTGTGCAGACCAAAAGCATTGAAAAAGCTTCAGCTTTTATTTAAATAAAATTTCATTCTTAAAGCATAGACTAAAAAAAAAAATTGAGTGACTATGGGGGTGGTGAAAGAAGCCAGCTTGACTTTGGAGAAATTGCCATCAATATTCCCAATGAGGTGTGAGCATTTTCCATGCATTTTAATCAATCCTTCTGTAACTTTAATGTTCCTACAAATCATCTGGAAATGTTGTTAAAACGCAGATTCTGACTCAGCAATTCTGGAGTGGGGCCTGAGAGTCTACATTTCTAGCAAGGTCCCAGGTGATGCACTGTTATTACCCTGGGAACATAATTTGAATCGCACTGTTTTAAATCTCTTCCATCAGTGATATATGAGAGTATATCAATGACAGTTGGCTACAGGGGATCTTTGGTCAGTGACTTCAGCAACTTGGAAGTGGAAGAGATGAACTGCTGGCTTGTTTGAGGGGTGAAACAATTTTGCTCATTCAGAAATTTGAGGAGTTGTGGAGTAGGAGATTGTTAAAATTGGATGGGTTAATCACAACGAGCTTTATGTGCCACTAGCACCAGGTTGTTCAAGACTGAAGGAGGTAAGGACTTTTGAAGTGGTACTCAGGTTCCTGCTGCTTAACTGAAAGTGCGATAAGATCAGATTCGTTAGGAAATCATTTTCAAAACAGACTCATTTATTTTGACTAAATGAGGCTGAATGATAGTAGGGAGATAGATTCATTGTATCTTTTAGAAACCCACTGTTTGAGAAAGTGGAAAACTGGTTGCCTATGATTTTGTTTGCATCGTTGCTGAAATTTTAAATAATGCATTTCCACAACACCTTTAATGATACTGAATTATTGCCATTCATCTCTTCCCATAGGGAAAATGGAACTAAAGGCCTATGCTATTTCCCTGCTCCTACCTCCATTTTGCCGTGTGACTTTTTTTTTTCTTTTCTTTTTCCGGCACCTTGTGGGTCTTTGTTCCCCGACCAGGGATTGAACCCGGGCCCTGGCAATGAAAGCACCGAGTCCTAACCACTGGACTGCCAGGGAATTCTCTGCTGTGCGACTTTAAGAAAACCACTTAAACCCTTATGTTTGGAGTCCCCATGGTGAAAAATGGAAATCAAAGCTCTTGCTTTGTTCCCTGTAGCCGTACTTACTGAAATCAGTGAGGTACATTTCAATTGCTTAAAAAAACAAAAGACTTTACAATGTAATATTTTATATTTATTTAGCATATTATATATGCTAAAAAGTATACTATATGCATATATCAAGCTATTTCATATATGATCTAAGTATTCTGGCAAATCTTTATAACAAAAATGAAACATTTCCTGTAATTGTACCAGCAAATTAAATTGACCCTTTTTTGGGTTTCACAAATCGAATGAACATGATTAGAGTGTTTTAGACCTAATTTTTTCATCCTTTAGGTAATAGTACTGATGGATAGTGATTAAAAATATAGTAATTTAATCCACATAAAGACTTTTAGTTCTATAGGGGATTAATGGTAAGTGAGGTCAGTTACTCAAGCTTGACCCTGTTTGAGATACTTTAGGTTCTTTTAGGTTTAAACACATTTAATTTTACCAGACTTTAGCATGTATTTTTTTTTCTTTTTTTAAAAAATTTTTTGGCTGCACCATGCTGCATATGGGATCTTAGTTCCCCAACCAGGGATGGAACCTGCGCCCCCTGTATTGGAAGTGTGGAGTCTTAACCACTGGACTGCCAGGGAAGTCCCAGCATGTATTCTAATCAAAGATATATTTTGACCCAAACTTGTGCCAAAGAATAGCAATCAGAAAATGTCTGAAATAAAACTCTGTGAAGATTCAGATTCATAATTTGAAGTAATTCAGCATAAAGTTTACCATACTTTTCTAGGAAGCAAAGGTTTGTTAGGCAAGTTAAGTAGCAGTACCATAGATACTAAAATATAATAAATAATCTATATCCATTACAGTGTGGGGATCAAAAGCCAGGGCTCTAGAGTCAAAGATGCCTGATTTAAATCCCATCTTTGATGCTTGATTTGTAGTGTGGCTTTGGTTACTTAACTTCTCAAAGTCTCAGTTTCCTCATCTATAAAATCAATTTCACAATATAAAGTTCATAAGATTACTGTGGGGCCCAAAAGAGATAATGCATGTGCTGTGGGCTGAATTGTGTCCTTGTCAAATTCATGTATTGAAACCCTAACTCCCGATGGGGATGTACTTGGAAATAGGGCCTTTAAGAGGTAATTTAGGTTAAATGAGATCATAAGGGTGGGTCCCTAATCCAATAGCGTTCTGGCCTTATGAGAAGAGAGAGAGCACCCTCTCTCAATGCACACAAAGAAAAGGTCATGTGAGCACACAGCAAGAAGGTGGCTGTTTACAAGTCAAGAGAAGAGGCCTTGGAATGAAACCTATGTTGCTAGCACCTTGATCTTGGACTTCCAGCTCCAGAACTGTGAGAAAATAAATTTCTTTTGTTTAAGCCACCCAGCCTATGGTATTTTGTTATGGCAGCCTGAGCAGACTAGTACAGATTTTGGTACTGAGAAGTACAGTGCTGCTGTAACAAACACCTAAAAATGTGAAAGTGGCTTTGGAACTGGGTCATGGGTAGAGGCTAGAGGTGTTTGGAGATGCATGGTAGAAAAAGCCTACCAATACTGTAAACACAGTATTGGTAGAATGATGGATGTTAAAGGTCATTCTGATGAGGTCTCAGATGGAAATTAGGAACGTGTTGTTGGAAACTAAAGAAAAAGCCATCCTTAATTATAAATGGCAAAGAACTTGGCTGAACTGTGTTCTAGTATTTTATGGAAGGTAGAACTTGCAAAGTGGATATTTAGCTGGAGAGATTTCTAAGCAAGGTGTTGAAGGAATAGCTTGGTTCCTCCTGACTACTTATAATAAAATGCAAAAGGAGAGACATGAATTGAAGAAGGAATTGTTAAGCAAAAAGAAACCAGAATACAAAGATTTGGAAAATTCTCAGCCTACTCATATGGCAAAAAATGAGGAAGCTTGGTCTGGAGAGAATACCAAGGGAATGGCTGGATAATCACTCCTTAAGGAGATTGCCCATGATGTTAACTAGTCATCTCAACAGAAGCCAGGAATAGAGTTTGGACCAAAGCATCAGAGACACTGTCAGTTTGGACCAAAGGGAATAGGGCAGGACAATAGTGCAGTTTGGCTGCAAACATGCTTTATCTTTCAAGAAAATGGAAGAATGATCCTGAAGTTGTTTCAGAGATCATCAGGGTTACCACTCCCACCACAGGCCGAGAGTGCCTAAGCCCAGGTGGGCAAGGCTGCTTCCACCTAGATTTCAAAGGTGGGATCAGCTGCCCAACAGAGCCAAGTGGGTGGGGCTGCCCCTGCAGAGCCGTGGGGGTGGCAGTGCCACCCAGTGGGCCTGGAGGGCAGAGCGTCAATCCAAAAAGGATTATTCTCAAGCATTAAGATCTAATGGAATTTGCCTTATGAGATTTCGGACATTTTTGGGACCTGTCACCCCTTTTCCCCTTCAGATATCTCCCTTTTGGAATGGGAATATCTGTCCTATGCTTGTCTTCCTGTATTTTGGAAGCACATGACTTGTCTGGTTTCACAGGTTCACAGCTGGAGAAGAATTTTGCCTCAGCAGCAGTCATATCCCCAAGTCTCACCTGTATCTCATTAGATGATATTTAGAAGAGACTCTGGACTTTATTTAGACCTCAGAGTTGATGCTGGAATGTGTTTAAGACTTTTAAGGCTGTTGGGATGGAATGAATGTATTTTGTATGTGAATTTGGAGGTACCAGTGTTGGAATGCTATGGACTGAATCATGTTCCCTCTCCCCCCATATTCATATGTTGAAGCTCAACCCCCGATGTGGCTGTATTTGGAGATAGGCCTTTAGGATGTAATTAAGGTTAAACAAGGTTGTAAGGATGGGGCCCCAATCCAATAGGACTGGTGGACTTATAAGAAGAGAAATCTCTCTCTTCACACACACACACACACACACACATACAAAGAAAAGGTCATGTGAACACAGCTAAAAGGTGGCTGCCTACAAGCCAAGAGTAGAGGCCTCAGAATAAAACCTATGTTACTGTCACCTTGATCTTAGATTTCCAGCCTCCAGGGCTGTGAGAAAATAAATTTCTTTTGTTTAAGCCACACAGACTGGTATTTTGCTATGGCAGCCTGAGCAAACTAATACAACATGTAAAACTCTTGGCATGTAGTAGAAATCAACTATACAGATGTACAATATGCGTACACAGTGAATAATGGGGGAAAACGTTTACCCCATCTAAAAGGACAAGCTAATTTCAAGTACTTTAGCAGGACTCCTTTTTAATTCGAATTACTATTAGTACTATATTATGTATTATAAAGTTATATAGTAATAGTAATATCATAGGAATATACCACATTTATATTTATAATTAATATTATTATTAACTTAAGTGGGCCTGATAGTATCTTATCCCCAGTGAAATGTTTTCACCTTAAGGCTCTGTATGTACTCAAAAAATAATATTACTATGCTTTGTTGAATCTGTTTAATAATTCATAATTTTTACCAATTACAATAGGTCTCTAGTTTCTTTCTGTCCCAACAGTCTCTCACCTTGACAAATCCTTAGAAGTGTGAGCACCCTCGTTTGAAAAAAAAATGAAAAGATAAAGAAGGCGTACTAGAAACTGTGATATGCAAGCAAGTTAGATTCCACAGGCTTTTCTTTCTATGAATGCAGTGGTGCAATATACGTGTGTCCCAGTATATGTATCATTTATATGTAATAGTTAAAGCTCAAATTTAGAGCATCCGTTGTTCTTTTGGAATTTTTCAGTAATGGAAGTTTATTCTTTCACAGGTATCAAGGTTACATTTATACATACCGAGTGTCTCAGACAGAAACAGGTTCTTGGAGTGCTGAGGTATAGCTCTTTTATTTATTTTTGCTTCTGGGGGTATCAGGGAGGTATTTGAAATTTAGACTGCTTTTATAAAAGAGCTGTCAAATTCTACATTCCCAAAATATTCATCAGATTCAAATCACTAAAGCTCCAATCCAAAATTGCTCATGGATCATTAAGAAGCCTTTAGAGAATTTTGGTCCCAGTTCTGTTCAGCCACCACTGTATGGAGTGGTCTCACTTTGGGGGAAAGATAACAAAGTTAAAGGATTGTGTCAAACTTTTGGTGCCTATGTGAAATTTTAGATAGCGTATCAAAAATATATTAAAAAATCAAATCGACAATTATTTACCAAATGATACTAATGCAAGTGTTGGCTCTATGGGGGATTAAACAACATGACTCCTGTTTTCTAACAGCCTGTAAGACCCTTGAGAGATACAACATGAATTAAACAGCAATGTGAGAGCCTGGTGTTTGCTGTCAGGTGGATGTGTGTTCCAGGTCTTATCTACCCCCAACCCCTTTCTGAGAGGTCTATGACCTTGGGTAGGTTACCTAATTTTTCTTTGAAGCAGTTTCTTCATCTGTAAAATAAGCCTAAAAATAGTCCCTTACTCATAGGGCTCATTTTGAAGATTAAATGAGATAATGCATATAAAGAAAGCTCTTAGTCACAGGACTAGCAAGCAAGCCCTCGAAAATGAGAACTCACCCAAGTTGCTGAACAATATGATTGTTTATAGTCAAGTGCTATCTAGCACAAGCATTTAAAGAATAGAGAATTTTCCAAGTATTAGGGTAATCAAGGCTGCTCTTCTGTGGAGGCAGGACTCCCAGCTTAGCCATATGGGAAGGACAAGGATAGGTAGAAAAGAGAGAGAGGGAACATTCCAGTGACTCTTAAGCTATGCTCCGCAAAATCCTGAAGTTCTTTCATTTGAGTGCCTTGGAGTTGCCCAGGGGGTTACAGAAGGATAGGAGGATGTGTGGGTATGCTTTGGGTCCCCAATTTGTCTTTAATCTGAGCAGTCCCTTTTAGTTTGCTTATCAACTGGGGCTCTGAGAAAAATTTCATTAGAAAAATGGGTTCTTATGGCTTTGAAAACATTTGAAAGTCACAGTACCATTGCAAGAAATGCCTGTAGAGTGAATCTCTTTCCACATACCAGGGTAGTATCAATATATTACCATGCTAGCAAAGTAGAGGTCTCTACAATGGAAACTTCTGACTTCAAATGCTTTCTCTGATTTCTGACTTTTTATAAAAACAGTCTGTCTTTATAATGAAAGGACTTCATTATGAGTTGTTTGAAAACGTAAATGCTAATATCAACCTGTATTAATAACTCAGTCTATGCATTTAAGAAACTCTGAAGTCTAGACTTAAAAAAAAAAGTAAAATAGCTCTAACCTTTACAGATGCACTGGTGAACTAGAAAGCACAAATTGCAGACTACAAATGTTTTGAACTACTGAGATGAATTAGGGCAAGTTTTCAAACACATTGTTGCTTTATATCAGGATAATTGATGCTACCATTCTAATTAGAGGAAAAGCAGTACTATTTCTAATCAAAACTGTTTATACCCATTTATTTTTAAAAGTTCTCTGCATCACTGCAGAGATGATTGAATAGGTTATTAAATTTCATTTATTATGAGGAATAGTAGTGTATGATATATACATATATAGTTGTATATAATTTGACCAGAAATAGCCCTTCTTCCTAGAGAAGTAGCCTTCAGCTGCTGAAGAATATTCTTTATGGAAAGGATCTTAAATTAGTAGGGCTTAGGTAACGTTTTCTTTAAACTTGTTTTCTTCCATTTCAAGTATAACATCATATGCAGATTGTTACATGTTTGTGATCATGTTAGGGAAGAAAGGGCTTATTGAACACAAATGCTCTCTCATTCTGTTGTCTGGTCTGACCCGTTTATCTAATAATATTGTAATTATCTGCACCAAGAGAGCAGAAGATTGGCATGTTTTCTCCAAAGGGAAAACAGTTTAAAAAAAAAAACTCTTTAGATTTATTTTTGAAATGCATATTGCATTTTTTTCTATCTACTAAATTTGCCTTCTAGTTATGTTTTTCTATGGTGAATATTAAACTAGTGTGTATTCTTAGAGCTCATATCATCTGACTGGAAGAAATTTCTCTAGAGCATATTGAAGACCAGCTATGATCCAAAGCATGTTTCCATGGATAACTGTATGGGAAATGTGCAAATTTGAACAATAGCTGAGTTCAGTGACAGGATGGGAGATGTCAGTGGTACAATTCTTGTGGTAAATGTATTTTCAGAATGGGGTAAATAACAGATAATTTATATTGCTCTTTGGAACAATGCTTTAGTTTGCCACATTGCGGGAAAAATCTTGACAGTAGCACTAAATTTTCTGTGCAAAGATTGTGCTAGAAATCTAGGTGTGTCTGCAGTTTGTTTCAAAGAGTGGAGTGAAATTGAACCCTGGATCCACTGAACTACGAAAGACAAATATTATGTGATTTTCTAGCTTTAGGTAGACTTTTAGGTTTTATCATTGCCTAGTATATTAATTTATCTCATGTGACTCAGGCTAAAATTTTGCCAAATTGTTAATTCAGAGAATTCCATGTACAGTCACCTATCATTTATTAATATGTTCATTGTCTGTGGTACTTTGTAAAAAATGTACTAACATCCTCCTGCTGACTTCAGTGCTTTTGGGCTTTTCTGGATATTTGATCATCAGTAGATCAGTGGATGTTAAATAATTTTCTTATTGACCTAAGCAAAGCACTATAAATTCAGTCAGTTATTTGCCAATGCAACATTGCATGCCAAATTCAAATTGCTTTTTTACCTTCAGTGCTATTATTCCTCTCCATTGGCATGGAGAATCAAGTGTTAACTGCATACAAATCCTCATAAAAAAGATGCTTCTGTTGATAAATGGTTTTACAAGCCACAAGAACAGGTAAAAAGATGTGTGGTTTGAAATCTTTCCACACCGGGGGAGTGGATTAGTTTCTCTTCTGGTTGGTGACTCTAACTTCACTAGAACCTGTTTGGTCTCTAATCTGCCTAATCTGAAAGGAAAGAGACTGGGTCCTGGGATCTGGAGCCAGTTCTGCCTCTGGTTATCTGTGTGACCTTGGGCAAGCTGAATTATCTCTTTGTATTTCCATTTTCTTATCTGTCAAATGGGAGTAACCAAATCAGCCAATAACTGCCAGGAGATGGGAAAGTGCTTTGAAAATGAACAAGTACTCCAAGGAAGACATAAGAAGGTTATTTTGTGCCTATGGCCTGCCTTTGACATTTGGAGATTCTATCCTGGAGCCAAAGAACTGTTTGGATCCCTGTAAGAATGGCCATATTATTTTGGATGAGGTCTCAATAGAGTTCTGGGAAGGTGTTTTGACAGTAAGGCTGGAGCTGAGTGGGAGCGTATTCTGTATCTACTGAGTAGCTGTGTGAGCCTATGAGCTGACACTAATTTAAAGCTAAAAAGAACTTTTTCAGTGTTTTCAGTGAAAAACTCTTTACCCCAGTGTAGGAAATGACCAAGAGTTATAGTGGACAGTGTGCTGTCTTTAGCATTTTGTCTAGCTGACACACGTCTGTATGCCAGCCTTCATGTTTTCTCATTAAATGCTAACAAACAAATAGCTCCCACCTCAAAAACTTTCTAGATGGAATAGCTGAAAAACAGCTTTCTAAAAAAACTGGTCATTGTTCAATTGCTTATAGCAATACTATTTTATTTCATGTAAAATGACAGTTTTGAGCTGACGCTTAAAGCTTGGCTCATAAGCTTTTGCAGGAAATTGTTGTTGATTTCAAGTAGTGTCTTTACAAGAGAATTCATGTCAGGAGAGGAGTACATTTTAATACTCACCTGCAAATAATGATCCCTTCAAAACCAAACAAATAAATAAAGGTGACCTTAGTCTTTCATTTTCGTGTCATAGAGAAAACCTTGTCACAGTGAAGTGTTGACATAAAGAGCAGTTTGGGGGAGGATAGGGAAGTTTCCCAAGGAGGAAAAAATTTAATGTGTAGGATGAGGCAGGACATATCGTGAAGTGAAAGAGTGTGAGGACTAACTAGCCTTGCATTGTGTGCCTCATAACAGCCAGTTTTTAATTTCCTGTGTAGCATTTTATATTGTGGAATGATGGCAGGGAGGATGGGTTGTAGTTGTTGTTTTATTTGTTTGTTTGCTTTTTTTTTTTTGGTTCTTTAGGCTTTTTATTAATGACCTGTAGGATCTGTGTTTTTTCTCTGTTTAACTGCATCCTCTCTGTTGGTGAATTCATTGTGGGTAATGGCCTGTATACCCTTAGAGGTTCGGGATGTATGATGGGTAGCAGGCAGGAAGGGCAGGGCGATGAGCAGCAGCTTGTACAAACTAATACCACCCTCGGGAGAACTGAAATGACAGCTCATTAGCTCCTCTTGCAGGGAAATTCAGCCAACCAAAGTAAGCTCTTCTAGAATGTTGTTTTTCCTTCTTCCTTATGTTTTCAAATATTTGAACAAGTTACACAAATGTTACCTCTCTAAGCATCCCTTGCACATTTTGTAGGCCCTTTTTTGTATCATTATGAGGTAGATGAATAATCTGCTTGGCCTTTTATTTTCCAGACAGCACCTGGGGTACATAAAAGATTTTTCCGGAAAATAAAAAATCTCATTTCAGCATTTCAGAAGCCAGATCAAGGTATTGTAATACCTTTGCAGTATCCAGTTGAGAAGAAGCCCTCAGCTAGAAGTACACAAGGTGCTACAGGTATGGTTTACTGTTTATTTTTGACAGGTTTGGAAGCTTAGGGCTATGAGTCACCCTAGTCATAAACATGTAGAAAAATGCAATAAGAAGATGGAGCCAGCAGCCCCAGTGAGAGGGGGCTATTCACATACTATGATTTCCACATGCTATACTATAAACTTTTAATAAAACTCTGCAAAAATATAAAAAATTCTATGAGCCCACAACATTTTAATCTCTCTTATCCCGTCTTGTTTTCCCCAGCCTGTTTTGTCGCTCCATGAGTACCATTTCACTTCACTAATTCAGACACAAATAATTTGAAAGACGGGACAATTCAGAGAACATCTGGACTTGTCCTTTACTTTTGCTTATTATCAGGTAGTGTTTTCCCTTCAGGGATGGAAAGGCTAATGTTAGCTTGGTCCACATGATCCCGATTTCTGAATTTGTGGTGCTTGAATTAATACAATTTTATTGTAGCAAAGGAAAGAAAGTTAGTAGACTTTATTTTTCCACTAGCGCAAATTGTTACATCTCCTGAGCAAAGCTATTTTAGTGGACATGTCAAGCTAATCACCGAATACTAGCCAATGTCCTCAGCTGTCAGATTTGTGATAGTTGATATCTATTGAAGGGGGTTAATCATCTGTCTTGAGTAAGAGGATACGCATTGATTGAAACAATAAATATTTATGATTAAATAAAATGAGTTGTTATTTCCTTTTTTGACAGGGACCCAGGCTCAGGCATAAACTGACAATTAGACTCAGACTCAAGTGGTGAATTAAATTAATGAGTAGTTAGCTTTTTTAAAAGAAATGTAAATAGAATTCCAATTTACAAATTGGCTCAGTATGCCATTCTCTATAACAGTTTTAAATACTTGTTGCTTGAGCTATATCATTGGATTGTATCTTTGTGAACTTTATGCAGTTGGAAATTTTATGTTTGAGTTAACCTGTAATTTTAATAGCTTGTAAGTTTATCTCTTCTTGATTTTTGTTATTATTTTTCTTTAGGGAGAAGAGAAGATACTGATGTCTTCCTGAAAGCACCATGAAGAAAAATAAAACACACCTTGTACTTTATTTTCAGTAATTTAAATATATGCTAAGTCTTATATATAATTGATAATACAGTTCAGTGAGCTACAAAAGTATTTCTGAAACCATCATAGTCCTGTAATGGAAGCATCTATAGCATGATGTTAAAGCTGAAATGGACTTTTCGGATAATGAGGAGCTTTGAAATGAGGATTGGGGAAAAATAATTCCACAGGTTATTTTCAGTTATTGTATTTACAAATGGGAAATGACTTAAAACATAATGATACTTTATAAAAGATTAATGTCAATTCTTGCCAAATATAAATAAAAATAATCCTCAGTTTTTCTCAAAAGCACCATTTTTAGTGAAATATTATTTGATAGCTACTGATTTTAAAATGTCTTGCTTGATTATATGGCAGGAAGCTGGTTCGTGTCCCTCGTCTTTGTCATGTGCGGTTCTACATTAGGTATTATGCTCTCCAATAGCTATAGTGTTATAGGCTCTCTGGGGATATATGAAACTGTGCACTGTGTGCTAAAAACAAGTACTAGATAGAGAGTGAAGAATTTCTGTTTAATTCTGAAAGCAGCCTTCTTGCCTAGTGTTCTGACGTTGGACAGTAAAATCCACAGACCAATCTGTAGTTTAAAATTCCCGTAATTTAAAATATGCTCTAAATGTTTATTATATTTGATGCTATAGGATTTGAAATTATATTACAAATCTGATGAAGTGGACTTTTCTTCTTTTCATTTACCTCTGCCCCAGTAGTTGTCACTCCATGTAAAAACAGCAGCTGCGGCTCATCAGCTGTGGCTCATGAGTAGCTGATTTACAAGCAGTCTCCCTATCAGGTCGCCCTACAAGACCATTGGAAGCTTACAGGTTACATTAATTTTTAACAATTCCAAGTAATTGTAACCTAAGTGAGAGCCAAGATTGTAGGCAGTGATGGGTATTGGTATTTTCTTCTCACATTTATATTTTCATGACTCTTACAATTCAATTATATGTCAAGTTGCTTCGGGTCTCATAGAATTCATTCACCAGCAAACACAATAGGCACTGGGGTAGAGAAGTAAAAACACCTGGCCTCCACGCTCAGGTAGCCCCCTGCCTAGTTGGACAAGAAAACAATAGCAATAAAAGACAATAAAAGAAAATAACAATAAAAGACAAGAAAATAACAATAAAAGGTGGTAAGTACATGGTAAGTCAGGGTCCCAACATGTAGGTAGATCTTTTTTTTAAAGGTTCTACTCCATTTATAGTTATTATAAAATATTGGCTATATTCCCTGTATTGTACAATATATCCTTGTAGCTTATTTTATACAGAATAGTTTGTACCTCTTAATCCCCTACCCCTATATTGCTCCTCCCCCCTTCTCTCTCCCCACTGGTAATCAATAGTTTGTTCTCTATACCTGTGAGTTTGCTTCTTTTTTAAAATATTCACTAGTTTGTTGTATTTTTTAGATTCTACATATAAATGATATCATACAGTATTTGCCTTTCTTTGTCTGACTTATTGCACTTAGCATAATACCCTCCAAGTCCATCCATGTTGTTGCAAATGGCAAAATTTCCTTCTTTTTTATGCCTGAGTAGTAGTCCATTGTATATATATATACCACATCTTCTTTATCCGTTCATCTGTTGATGGACACTTATGTTGCTTCCATAGCTTGGCAGTAAATAATACTGCTGTGAACATTGGGGTGCACGTATCTTTCAAATTAGTGTTTTTGTTTTTTTCGGATATATACCCAGAAGTGGAATTGCTGGATCATATGGTAGCTCTATTTTTAGTTTTTTGAGAAACCTCCATATTGTTTTCCACAGTGGCTGCACCAATTTACATTCCCACCAACAGTGTACAAGGGTTCCCTAGGTAGATCTGTCTTTAAAGGAAGAATGAGTTAACCCAATACTCTGGCCCATGGTCCATAGGAAGCTGGTTCATTATAAGTTTCATTATAAACCAGTAACTTGGAATTCTGGGTTGTATGTGAGAGGTGGTGAGCTTGGTTAATAATTAGCGAACTGCCAAGAGACAAAGCTACTCTCTCTGCTGGCAACATCTGATTTCTGAGCATTTAACCTGGATGCTCTGGGAGTGCAAAAGTTGGGTATAGCCACAATGATGTATTGTGCTCCAGTTACCATTTCTGGAAGTAAAAGCATCACTTTAATTTGTAAAGGAATTCAGAAAGCTGACTTTCCAAATAAAATGCATATGTTTAGATACTTTTTAATTATTTGTAGCTTGGGTTTAAATTTTAATAGGTGTAACTAATTTTTACTCTAATTTGTTCATTATGGAATAATCCTAAATATAGGAATTGTTTGCATGTTCCTTTACCAGGACCTTTTTTGAATTATTTATGTTTTCTCATATTTTAATAAAGTATTTGAAATCTTTATTTTTCTAATTTGTCTTAAAATATTCCTTTCAAAAATATTCAAAGATAGGTGCTATTAATATACTAAATAAAGCATCGATGAAGGTCATCTTATCTTATTGGACTGATTCACTGAAAAAGGTAAGTGCTTTTCTGATTTTGCTATTGTCAAATTTTCCAGTTGATGTGCCTACCCACTGTTTTCTTTTGCTGGCCTTTTATTCATCAAGTTTTTTGCACTTTTTCTTTCCTGGCATGAGCATCCTTGCTATTTCCCAGTACATAATAGCTTGCACCTTTACAGAAAGGTCATATCCTTGCCATATCTAAAATATTGCCATGTTAACATATACCTGTAAGATGCTGAGTAAAGGTAGAAAAATGCACATATATTTCTAAGTGCACACCTTTCTTCAGAAAAAAACGTGTGTCAGCAAGCCCACAAGGAACATGACAGTTTATCAAATACTTGTTCATTTCCTCTGAAATTTGTTCTGAAGAGATAAGGTCAGTAGGGAGACAAGCTTAGGTAATTGTCCATTTGGCTGTTACAGGCAGGGAACTTTTGCGGTAGTACATAGGTAGAATAGGTCTACAGAGGATGCCTCTGATTAAGTCTTCTGGTATAAATCAAGGGCTGGATTTAAGATATTATTTGTGGTAGAATGGATAGAAAAGTTAAAATGTGAGAACCAGCTTTAAAATCTGTTAAGAATGTTTAGACATCAGCTTATGCTTTATTTGATTCACTTATTGAGTTCAGAATCCAAAGTCTATTAATAATAAAACCCAGATTTGCCCTTGAGCATTTCAAGGTTACAGATGCCTAGTCTTCCTGTTAGTGGGCTATAAATTCAACTTTGTCACCTATGTTTGCCCTTGCAGTAAATGGGACACCATAATTTTGCAGTTTGCAGCTCAGGGTGAAGTTAAACTGCCCAGTTTGGACACTTTCATAATTTGGGGTCATTGGCCCAACTTGCAGTAAAAGGCTGCATTTTCATCATTAGGTCATTTGCTTTTTAAATGAATATTTTTATGTGGAAAGAATATAACCTGATCGACTGGAGAGAGCCCATCAACATAGCAAATGAGTCTTGAATTTGCTTTTCGGCTTTGTCACCGATTATGCCAGTGACCTTAGGTAAGTCAGTCCGTTGCTGGTATTGCATTTGCCAAATAGGAACAATTAAGTCTTGCTCACCTCACAGGATTATTGAGATACTAGAATTATATAAATTTATGGTAGTAATATTACTAAATGTTTAAATAGCATTGATATTTAAAGATCTCTAAAAGTGAGGGTGAATAGGGAAGGAACATGGAGAAATCCCTTATCTCCTTTATAATTTTCTCCACGTAGGAGCTCTTGCTTCTTTCTTTTTGTACTGAGGGTGGGATGCATATTTTGAAAAACCAATCTCCTGGTGTTACTAATATCCCCCAACTCCACTCCCCACCCCCATTGCTTTTTGCTGATTGGTGTGTTGAAACAATCAGGATTGTCTTCTGCTCTGTCAATCTTTTCACTGTATCTCTGTATATATCAGTGAATAAAAGGCAGCAGGGCATTTTAGAGTGGTGTAAATTCCAGGATTCCAAGCAAGTTTCAGTAACAGGCTGTTTGGACTATAGGTACCTCATTACTATCAAGATGAATTTTGGAAGATCTGTTGGCCAGCCTTCCCAGTGTCACTCGTAAATGTCTTTTTGTGAAAAATAAGTGCCAATGGCCATTGTAACTGCCCAGGACTTCGGGCCTCAGAAGAGTTGTTTTTTAGTCTTTCCTGATTGCCTCCCCTGCCCCATTCATTCTTTGCCAATGCGTTGGGTTGCCCTGCTCTCCTAGCTCCCTCCCACCCCTGTTTTTCAATTCTTAATTTTCTTTCTATTGCCCAGAAAGGCATCAGCAGGAGAGAGAACCTTTATGAGTCCTAGCCTAGAGGCATTTAAACTTGAAACAGCTACTCTTTTTTTATTTTTATTTTTATTAAATGGTCATTTATGGCAGAGATCCTATATGTATGAAAAATAAAAGTGAAGAGGCGTCTGCTTAGGATTAGTGCCTTTTTGACTTATGCACCTATATTTTCAAGGTGATGTGGTTTTATTGCTCCCTTTTAGGGAGCCACTTTTCAAATCTCAGGTGATCAGACTGACTTGAGAATGCAGTTTGGCGCATGAATAAAATGGGACACAGTGTTCATTTGCAATTTTATTTTTTAAAAATGAAATATTCAAAGTACTTTTTTCTTTCAAATATCGACACATAATGTTTAACTTTAAATATTTACAGCATGTTGTGATGCTCTTGTAGAAAAATGCATGCTTCTGGCCTGAAAGCCAGAGCAAAATGCAAAAGACCATTTAACTGCAGCCAGAGAACATGAACCTGTACAGTATCCAGTCACTTTTCAGCACAGGATTGAGAGCAGGAATACAAAACTGGAACCTATTGTTTCCTAGCAACATGGCTCAGGCCATTATAACACAATTTCCTGTATGATTAGAACCTCTAACTGTTGTTATATAGAAACTGAAAATCTTGGCATACACTGTAAACATCTTTACTTCTCATGAGAAAGTAAGCAGCTAAAAAGAATATTTTTCTGACGTAAAGGCTATACTTCTCTTTTTCACCTTCTTTCTTACTGATGCTTTTGCCAGAAGAATAGTAAAGATTTAGACATTGTCATGAATCATACAAGTAAAATATTTTCAAGGACACAATCTGATATACTAACATTTATTTAAGAGGTTAAAGTCCACCACTAAATCTAAGGAAAGATTTTTTTAACTGCCAAACACGTTTCCTTTGACAAATAATGTAAGATGACAACTGCCAAGACAAAATCCACAGCAAGTTTAACTCTAACTATTTTCAGTTACTGTTTAGGAAGTAATTTCTTCTTACACACAGTAGTATATTTGGTCCTTAATAGCTTTCACGTGAAGGACACACTGAAACAGTCACTATTTTGTGGTTGAATTCTTTTTTGTTGTTGTTTGTTATTTTCTGGTTTTTTTCTTTGTTTTTTTTTTTTGCTTTTTTTGTGTTTTTGTTTTTTTGCAGAATAAAGAACCTTACAGAAGGCTGTGGAAGAGCAGTCTGAGATCTGAAGTACTAGTCAGGTCAGCTATGTGTACGTGAGTTCCTCTAAGAACACAAGAACGTTGCATCCAACCTGTAGCCTTCTGTTTTTCCACAAGCTATAATACTCTCCAGTCTCTCCAAAAGTTCCTTTCAGTACTTGATTACTGTACTTTTGCTTCCATTACCACTGAACTCCATTACAGTTGCCCTTACAGGAACATATCTTTATAAATGCAAAAACTTTGCCCTGACTCTCTTAGGTGCTATTACAGTAGGGCCTGGTCTGGTTAAAAATTTTTTTAAAAAAAGGAAAGAGAGGAAAAAAAGTAGAAACAACATGATAGGATGCTTGAAACTGTGTCAATAGTAATGAAAAAGAACAATCTTACAAAAATTAGAATTAATTGTATACCTCTCTACATAGCATGTGAATTCCAAATTATACATCATTAAGTTTTCATACATTTGGCTATGTTGTATATATTATATTATATATATAGTCTATATATTATAGATCTTCTAGATAAATTGACAGTAAAGGACACGCTTATTTTATACATTATTTTGTTGGGTTAAAAATAAAACATATGCCTATTTATATGGTGAGTGTTTTACTAAAAATCAGTATGAATTGGGCTTTATATCCCTTTCCTTCAGGAATCATGCTTCTAATCAGTAATGATTAGAATGACAACTAAAAATAAATATATTTAAATGTCTGTTCAACTGTGAACTTTTCAGCTCATTTGGATCTCTAGACTGTAGTGCAAGAGTCAAAACAAAATAAAACAAAGCACAAATAAAATGGGCCTAACTAGGAAAAAGAAACAACCATGGAGTATTCCCTGCCTCCGGCCCAGAATATTCTTCATAGGAGAGCCCAACTGCTGTGCTCTCACTTGAACTTACTTGAATGGTGTGTGGCTGTGTAGTGTCAGCCACCTGTCTTCTGGGTATGAGAAATTCATATATTCTCTTTAAAATGCTTTTACTTTCATCAAGAAATACAAATGAATTGTTCTTTCATTAATTTAAACTTCAGAACTACAAGTCAATAAAGGCATCCTTTGTATTCACATGAATAGGAAGTGATGTACTCAATATCTCCATGTTCTTATTAAGAAATGCCAAAATGTTTCTCTTAGATTTACTACTCATTAGTGCTAACCTTTTGGGTTTTTTTCTCTTTCCTCCTAAAAAACTTTGGAAGTGGTAAAGAGAACAGTAATAGTTCAAGGCAGTATTAAAACCACAGCTCTAAGTGATAAAAAGTGCATTTTCTGAATATAATACAAATATAACTTTAAGAAACTAAAGGCACAAATTAAATATGTATTTCAAACTAGAAATGCACAGTTCATGGTAATTACTATTAAGTAAAAGCTTCAAATACTTGTTTCTAATGGATATTTAAAGCAGTTTGAAAATGATACATCATCAGTGAATTGCAAAAAGGTATAATCGCTTAAAGTATAAGCAAAATAGACTCTAATATTGACATCTTGGATTAGTGATAAAATACATCATCACATTTATGAATGCACTCTTTATATACAGTTCATAAGTTACTTTTCCATTGATTTAAAAGAACATCAGAGGTTCTAGGAACTTAAGGTCCATTTTTAGGCTGGTGTGGAGGTATTCAAATTTTCAACAAGTTTGCTAGTAATTTTAGATCCTGTCCTGAATAAATACTATACCATTAACACAGGCCTGATTCAGGGGAAAAAAACCCCAATATGAGTTCATCGTGAATTCTTTCTCTCTCTTGGAATACATGTGTAATCCCAACCTGAAGGTTTTGAAAATGAAATGTCTGGATACACCCTCCCCTACTGTCAGCGGGCCCTTGCCTTTCTCTCACTCTTTGTGTAGTTAGGAGCCAGACTCTTTAAAAACCTTAATGTGAGCCTGGATTCTGACTTTGCATATTTTCAAAAAAGGCTGTCATCACAAAGCAAGGCAATGACCCCACACTGCATTTAGGTAGTGGCTGGAAAGAATCCAAACTGCGACATTCCATCATAAATTCTCCTTCAGACATAGTGAGTGTCCAGACCTGGTGATGAAAGTGCTGAAGCTGGCTCAGGAGAATTTTCCACAGGCCACATTGTGCTGTCCTGTATTTTCATTTGTGGTAACTTACAACTGCACAGCAGTTTACAAACTGTCTCTTTGTCACTGGGCACAAAACTCCCAGCTCACCAAGGGGCTTCTTTTACGACAGGATTCATACAGATTGAGAAACTGCAGCTGATATTAACACTAATCCTGATCTTTTCTGCATTTTAAATGATTGTAGAACAAAATAACCCTTCCTGGAAAATAGCTATTATTTTCCTAGGCAGGAGAGATGATTAAATCAAAAATAAATGGGCAAAGACAGAGAACTAAAATAACTAACCATATAAATTATCTTAGTAAAAAATAGTCTGCCTCTCTATAATTAGTTGAAATGTTTTAGGTTGGAAAGGACTCACTTAATTAAATTTCCTATGGCTGGGAGATGTTCAATACAGAATTGCACATTTGAAAGATAAATCTAAGTGGGGTGAAACAGTGTGGCAGCAACTTCCCGTGATGTTTAGTTTGGTCTTCCCTTTGGTACTTTCCTTTCACCTTAGTACTATGTCTATTTTTTTTTAAAGGTTTTTGGCTCTTATGAATTTCTGCAGTAGTAGTGAGTGTAATGTGTTGGCATCCCAGGCATGTATGCCTGTGAAAGCCTATTTTTTTTTTTGTACCAGAATCACACTTTGTAGTAAATTACCTTTCATGTGCACAAAACCATTGGATTAGTGTATAAATACTGAATCACGAATGTGAAACTATGACCAAAACACACCCTATATATAAATGAGAAATTCCTACCCAGGTTAATAAAAGCTATGTTTTCATGACACTAATACAGCTGGACAACTGAGTACAAAATGTAGTCAAAACAAGTTGGGTGGGAGGAGTTACATTGGCCAGCTGCCTTGGTATCATGTACACACGAGCAAATAGTGGCAATTGGGTTTGGTGACCACACCCACAGGGAAGCGTGGTAGACAGAACCCAGCCACCACACGCCAAAACACAGCACAACAACATGGCATCTGTTTCAACAAGCAAGGAGGAATCATCAGGGATGAAGGGCAAATGGGTCCTGACTCTAGGAGATGGTGGCCGAAGACATTTTACACTTCTTTCAAAGTTTCCTATAACAGATCTGGAACATGTGAAAGAGCTGGCAGTCTTTCAAAATGCAAGGTTCAGATATGATTGCACCACCTTTCAAATAGCCCGCAAGTTCTGCCAAAAGCTGAATATGAAACCACGTGTCACAATAGACATAGAGAACCTTGGGTTCTTTCTTTATATTTGAACATCGGCATGGTTCCACAAATTGAAAGCGGTGCTTGCTGAAAAAAATTTTTTTTTAGTTGAGTTCTACTTGCGTTATTTTGAATACTGCCACACAAGAACTAAAAATCTCTGTCATTTCTTAAAGAGTTTAAACAAACAATATTAAAATACCATCTTCCGTCACATTGAAAGGCAGTTGGATATGTTTCTCCTCCATATTTACATATACAGAGTTCTGATCTAGAAAACCAATACAATAAACCATTTTATGTTTTAAAAACAGGCAGTCTTTGGTGACGCAAAGGCAGAGATTTTTTTTGTTACCTCCTGCCTATTTCGCTCTGTCTCATAAAGTGAATATTGTTGGCACTGTCAGAAAGTTCTAAATACTGCTCAACAGACAAAACAAAATACCCATCATAACTTTGTACTCTCCCAGTGCTCAGCAGCTGCTGCTTTTCCCCCTCTGTCCATGCCCGGATACCCTCTTCCCCTTCTTGCAGCCTTCTTTGCTCCTTAGTCCAGGCCTGGGCCACAGCACGCTGTCTGGCGATCTCCAACACGTGATTCTTTTCCTCTTCGACAGTTGTCCCATACCGGATGTTGAAGCACAGAGCCCCGTGCTGGAGCTGGATATCTGCAAACCGTCTAGTCCTCCCATTCAACACCGAAGTCATCTGGGACACAGTGACATTGACACCATTCTCCAGAATGCGCCTCCCCCCAGTGTTCCCGATGAGCACCAGGTCTTCCTCCAGAGACCCAAGCTTAATGAAGTAGTGCGTGTCCCTCCCCTCTATGGTAAAATGTAGGTTTTCCAGGTAATGAGCATTATTGAGAATGGCAGCCAGCCGCCTGCTATCTTCATTGGCTACTCCTATAATATCGGCTGTTACTATGCCATCCTTGATGGCGAATTTTATACCTTTGCCGAAAACAGAAGGAACAGCAGCAAACCTTGGTTGCTTCCCTCCTTCAAGGCACCGTCCATCATTATATCGGGGAGTCATAGGAAGTTGGTCCAAGGAAATGAAATTCCTGAGCTGTTTCTGGAGCTCACACTGGATACCCAGGATGGTCTAGGAAAGAAGAAAGGCACAGAGCAAAGGCAGCAGACGATTAGACACCTAGCATACGCTTGGTCACTGTAGAAAGCAAAGGCTTGCCAGGTTGCTTCCTTCTCTCTTTAATTTGCTGGTTTGTGATTTAAAAACAAGCCACGTTTGGAATCTCTTCACCAGAGCTTTGGAAAAGACTAACAGGTGACTTGATCACCTGGCATATATTTCTTGATATCTTGGTGAGTTAAGAGTTAAGCATAAGCAAATACGTTAAAACTTGATACCACAGAATCACAGAGCTAAAAGTCACTTAAGTGGGTCTAGTTCCCCCCAAACAAAGACATTTTATTTTTACCCATTCAACGGACACTGACTAGCTGTTTCTTATTGGATGTAGAGTAATACATTAGCCACAGTGAGGTATAAAGAGACGGTATAAGGCATCATTCTTGCTTTCAAGTAGCTTATGACCTTATAAATCACAAGGGCAAATCAGCAAGTCCATGGATCTTTTTATGTGGATTTAAAAAAAAAAACCTTTTGACTATGGCAGATTTCAAACATACTAAGAAATAAAGAGAAGAGAATAATGAACCTCCAAGTATCCATTGCAAAGCATCAGAAATTTTCAAAATTTTGTTAAACTTTTTTCAGGACGTTTAATTACAAAAAGCATTTACATGTTATATGTATTTACAAAAAGGGATAAGCCTATAGTACTTATTTAGAATTTCGTTTCCTTTATAATTTTTATACTTGAATTTCAAGCCCTCTCACCCCAAGTTTCAGTTTTATTTTGTTAAAGCCATTTTTTTTGGCAAACACAGATATTCCTCTTTCTTTCAGCTGAAAGATAAAGTTCTTTTCTTGTTGTCATTTGTACCTCATTAAGTGATGGAATTATCTGCCGAACCTTGAATGTTTTGGTATTCCTATTTTTCCAGAGACTTTCTCTCTGTAATATTTATTATTTTGCTTCATTACCCTTGTATACTGTTTTTTCTTGTTTTTTTTTTTTTAACATCTTTATTGGAGTATAATTGCTTTACAATGGTGTGTTAGTTTCTGCTTTATAACAAAGTGAATCAGTTATACATATACATATGTTCCCATATCTCTTCCCTCTTGCGTCTCCCTCCCTCCCACGCCTCCCTGTCCCACCCCTCTAGGTGGTCACAAAGCACCGAGCTGATCTCCCTGTGCTATGTGGCTGCTTCCCACTAGCTATCTATTTTACGTTTTGTAGTGTATATATGTCCATGCCACTCTCTCACTTTGTCACAGCTTACCCTTCCCCCTCCCCATATCCTCAAGTCCATTCTCTAGTAGGTCTGTGTCTTCATACCCGTCTTGCCCCTAGTTTCTTCATGACCTTTTCTTTTTTCTTAGATTCCATATATATGTGTTAGCATATAGCATTTGTTTTTCTCTTTCTGACCTACTTCACTCTGTATGACAGACTCTAGGTCCATCCACCTCACTACAAATAACTCAATTTTGTTTCTTTTTATGGCTGCGTAACATTCCATTGTATATATCGGCCACATCTTCTTTATCCATTCATCTGTTGATGGACACTTAGGTTGCTTCCATGTCCTGGCTATTGTAAATAGAGCTGCAATAAACATTTTGGTACATGACTCTTTTTGAATTATGGTTTTCTCAGGGTATATGCCCAGTAGTGGGATTGCTGGGTCATATGGTAGTTCTATTTGTAGTTTTTTAAGGAACCTCCATACTGTTCTCCATAGTGGCTGTACCAATTCACATTCCCACCAGCAGTGCAAGAGGGTTTCCTTTTCTCCACACCCTCTCCAGCATTTATTGTTTGTAGATTTTTTGATGATGGCCATTGTGACTGGTGTGAGATGATATCTCATTGTAGTTTTGATTTGCATTTCTCTAATGATTAATGATGTTAAAGCATTCTTTCACGTGTTTGTTGGCAGTCTGTATATCTTCTTTGGACAAATGTCTGTTTAGGTCTTCTGCCCATTTTTGGATTGGGTTGTTTGTTTGTTGTTATTGAGCTGCATGAGCTGCTTGTAATTTTGGAGATTAATCCTTTGTCAGTTGCTTCATTTGCAAATATTTTCTCCCATTCTGAGGGTTGTCTTTCGGTCTTGTTTATGGTTTCCTTTGCTGTGCAAAAGCTTTTAAGTTTCATTAGGTCCCATTTGTTTATTTTTGTTTTTATTTCCATTTCTCTAGGAGGTGGGTCAAAAAGGATCTTGTTGTGATTTATGTCATAGAGGGTTCTGCCTATGTTTTCCTCTAAGAGTTTGATAGTGTCTGGCGTTACATTTAGGGCTTTAATCCATTTTGAGTTTTTTTTTTGTGTATGGTGTTAGGGAGTGTTCTAATTTCATACTTTTACATGTAGCTGTCCAGTTTTCCCAGCACCACTTATTGTAGAGGCTGTCTTTTCTCCACTGTATATTCTTGCCTCCTTTATCAAAGATAAGGTGACTATATGTGCATGGGTTTATCTCTGGGCTTTCTATCCTGTTCCATTGGTCTAGATTTCTGTTTTTGTGCCAGTACCATACTGTCTTCATTACTGTAGCTTTGTAGTATAGTCGGAAGTCAGGGAGCCTGATTCCTCCAGCTCCATTTTTCTTTCTCAAGATTGCTTTGGCTATTCGGGGTCTTTTGTGTTTCCATACAAATTGTGAAATTTTTTGTTCTAGTTCTGTGAAAAATGCCATTGGTAGTTTGATAGGGATTGCATTGAATCTGTAGATTGCTTTGGGTAGTAGAGTCATTTTCACAGTGTTGATTCTTCCAATCCAAGAACATGGTATATCTCTCCATCTATTTGTATTATCTTTAATTTCTTTCATCAGTGTCTTATAATTTTCTGCGTACAGGTCTTCTGTCTCCTTAGGTAGGTTTATTCCTATATATTTTATTCTTTTGTTGCATTGGTAAATGGGAGTGTTTTCTTAATTTCATTTTCAGATTTTTCATCATTAGTGTATAGGAATGCAAGAGATTTCTGTGCATTAATTTTGTGTCATGCTACTTTACCAAATTCATTGATTAGCTCTAGTAGTTTTCTGGTAGCATCTTTAGGATACTCTATGTATAGTATCATGTCATCTGCAAACAGTGACAGCTTTACTTCTTCTTTTCTGATTTGGATTCCTTTTATTTCTTTTTCTTCTCTGATTGCTGTGGCTAAAACTTCCAAAACTATGTTGAATAAGAGTGGTGAGAGTGGGCAACCTTGTCTTGTTCCTGATCTTAGTGGAAATGGTTTCAGTTTTTCACCATTGAGGACGATGTTGGCTGTGGGTCTGTCATATATGGCCTTTATTATGTTGAGGAAAGTTCCCTCTATGCCTACTTTCTGCAGGGTTTTTATCATAAATGGGTGTTGAATTTTGTCAAAAACTTTCTCTGCATCTATTGAGATGATCATATGGTTTTTCTCCTTCAATCTGTTAATATGGTTTATCACATTGATTGATTTGCGTATATTTTTTTTTTTTAAATTTATTTATTTATGGCTGTGTTCGGTCTTCGTTTCTGTGCGAGGGCTTTCTCTAGTTGTGGCAAGCAGGGGCCACTTCATCGCGGTGCGCGGGCCTCTCACTATCGCGGCCTCTCTTGTTGCGGAGCACAGGCTCCAGACGTGCAGGCTCAGTAATTATGGCTCATGGGCCCAGTTGCTCCGCGGCATGTGGGATCTTCCCAGACCAGGGCTCGAACCCGTGTCCTGTGTTGGCAGGCAGATTCTCAACCACAGCGCCACCAGGGAAGCCCTGATTTGCGTATATTGAAGAATCCTTGCATTCCTGGAATAAACCCCACTTGATCATGGTGCATGATCCTTTTGATGTGCTGTTGGATTCTGTTTGCTCGTATTTTGTTGAGGATTTTTGCATCTATGTTCATCAGTGATAGTGGCCTGTAGTTTTCTTTCTTCGTGACATCTTTGTCTGGTTTTGGTATCAGGGTGATGGTGGCCTTGTAGAACGAGTTTGGGAGTGTTCCTCCCTCTGCTATATTTTGGAAGAGTTTGAGAAGGATAGGTGTTAGCTCTTCTCTAAATGTTTGATAGAATTCGCCTGTGAAGCCATGTGGTCCTGGGCTTTTGTTTGTTGGCAGATTTTTAATCACAGTTTCAATTTCAGTGCTTGTGATTGATCTGTTCATATTTTCTATGTCTTCCTGGTTCAGTCTTGGCAGGTTGTACATTTCTAAGAATTTGTCCATTTCTTCCAGGTTGTCCATTTTCTTGGCATAGAGTTGCTTGTAGTAATCTCTCATGATCCTTTGTATTTCTGCAGTGTCAGTTACTTCTTCTTTTTTATTTCTAATTCTATTGATTTGAGTCTTCTCCCTTTTTTTCTTGATGAGTCTGGCTAATGGTTTATCAATTTTGTTTATCTTCTCAAAGAACCAGCTTTTAGTTTTATTGATCTTTGCTATCGTTTCCTTCATTTCTTTTTTATTTATTTCTGATCTGATCTTTATGATTTCTTTCCTTCTGCTAACTTTGGGCTGTTTTTGTTCTTCTTTCTCTAATTGCTTTAGGTGCAAGGTTAGGTTGTTTATTTGAGATGTTTCCTGTTTTTTTAAGGCAGGATTGTATTGCTATAAACTTCCCTCTTAGAACTGCTTTTGTTGCATCCCATAGGTTTTGGGTCGTCGTGTCTCAATTGTCATTTTTTTCTAGGTATTTTTTTGATTTCCTCTGATTTCTTCAGTGATCACTTCATTATTAAGTAGTGTATTGTTTAGCCTCCTTTTTTTTTTTTTTTTTGTGGTACGTGGCCCTCTCACCATTGTGGCCTCTCCCGTTGTGGAGTACAGGCTCTGGATGCACAGGCTCAGTGGCCATGGCTCAGGGAGCCAGCTGCTCCACAGCATGTTGGATCTTCCCAGACCGGGGCATGAACCCGTGTCCCCTGCATCGGCAGGCGGACTCTCAACCACTGTGCCACCAGGGAAGCCCATGTGTTTGTATTTTTATACTTTTTCTTTATCAGAATAATTTTTTTTTTTTTTGGCTGCATCATGAGGCATGCAAGATCCTAGTTCCCCAACCAGGGATTGAACCTGTGCCCCGTGCAATGGAGGTCAGAGTCGTAACCACCGGACTGCCAGGGAAGTCCCATTTATCAGAATAATTTAATTTGTTATTCCCATGCTCTTAATGCACTATGCCCTGAATTATTTTGCAGTTGGAGATCTGATGTTTTAGGTCTCTTAGTGAACAATTTTCTCTATATAGAATCCATAATTGCCCCTTTTTTATTTTAAAGATTTTTTTTGATGTGGACCATTTTTAAAGTCTTTATTGAATTTTTTACAATACTGCTTCTGTTTTATGTTTCGGTTTTTGGACCATGAAGCATGTGGGATCTTAGCTCCCCCACCAGAGATCGAACCCACACCCCCTGCATTGGAAGGCAAAGTCTTAACCACTGGACCGCCAGGGAAGTCCCCCTCCATAATTGCCCTTGGTAGCCCATTTTAGAATTGTTAAAGTTCAGTTCCACTTTTTTCTTCTGCAGCAGTCATCAAGTCACACATTAGTCTTTTCTTTTCCCAAAGCTCCAATTCCCTGATCCTTTCCTCATGGAAGCTTTTTTCTACCTCCTTATTAATCATGGACATTTAAGTGAATATTCAAGAAGACTCAAACATAAGTAAGCAAATATATGTTTCACGGTGTTGGATGCTCTTCTGTTTTTTCAGCTAAATAGAGATGGTAAAACATATACTAACCTTTCCAGGATCCCACTCTTGAGTTTTTGTCTGAAGCTGTAGAAGCTCATAAGTTAATTCCAAATTTTCTAATTCTGGTTTGGGAAATCCAGGTAGTACATTGTGTAGTTGGAAACCAAATAGCTCCAACCAACTTCCAATGTCTGTGAGACAAAAATTTAAAAGAAAAAAAGATTTTAAAGCCCATACTTTACAAATTCTGTGGAAAGCTTGAAAGATGCCTCTCCTGCCTTCGATATGTTTAGCCAATGGTAAGTTAGGGATAAACTCCCCCTTATGTCACCCACTCCAAAACATATGATCCGTTCCCCAGGGAAAGCTTTTGATTCATGGATAATCACAGAGATCAGCTCAGTTTACTGTGTGGAAATTCTCAATGTGGTAGTGGTAATAAGGCCACACAGACTGTGATATTAGATTTACTTGATGCAACAGAATCCCGATTTTTCTTCTATGAAATTATTTGTAGAAACTTTTAAGAGTGAAAACTACAAAAAGAAAGCTTAAAAGGAAAGAGAAAATGTACTGGGATGCAAAAGCATCATGTTTTATGCCAACATACACAGTTCTGCTCACTCTAGAAGACTAAGGAAGAGAGTGACTGCACAATAACTTGTGGGCTAGCTGGCAGGAAGAGGAAGCATATTTACAAAGGCATTGAGATTATGTGATAAACGAGTTTTCTCTTTACCTTAGCATAAAGTGTTACACCGTTTAAATACCTGTGGTATACTTTGCAACATCTTGAATTTTGCCAACTGGATAGTTATTTTCAAAAGAGTAGAGGTTGAATGGTTTAGGAAGGAGGTTCAACTGTTTCCATATGTGATGATTAGGCGTCGTCCATCTACCAGCAACAACATCATAGTCTCTTTGCCCCAGGTGCACTAATTTAGTAAGGAAATCATAGAGTCCTCCATGAAAACCAATGATGACCTGAAAGTCAGGGTAAGTGTCATGATAGATATCTCCATAAGGCGTGTACAGTATCTCTTTTATCACCTGACCTCGACTGCTGAACACGGCTAGTGGGGTTCCTGTATTATCACAGGCTACGTAATATTCTTCACCACTGCTTAGCTCCATGGCAATAAGGTGACCTTGGAGATCATAATACAGGGATGTAATCTCTGAGCTCGTGTGGTTGTACAAATGAGTAACTCTTATGGGGTTGGCAAGGTCTGCATAAAAGAACTGGAGGTGCTGTCCTAGGCTGGACTTACTGGCGACACGTCGCCCAAGCCCATCGTAGTAATACTGCACAGTCCAGCCAGAAGCCTTATTGTAGGCTTTCTGCAGCAGACCATTAGAATTATATTCGAATATGTCATTTCCCCTCTGCCTCAGAAAGCCATCTTCATCCATTTTATACTGAATTTCTCCTAGTCTGGTGATGCGATCTCGGAGGTCATATCGGAGAGGAGTAAGACGAGCACTATTCCCGTGGCTTAAGAGGTTGATGTTGCCATTCAGATCATAACTATAACGCCACTGGGTTTTATCATTTACAGAAACAGTTTGAAGTTGCCCATCAGCATCGTATTCATAGAAATATCTTGTTATATTGGCATCTACTCCTACTCTGATATCACATATTACCATTCGGCCCATATTATCGTATTGAATAGTCATCCAGTAGGCAATTGCCTTTAGGATTTCATACTGGACTTCAATGACTTGTCCATTGGCGTTGAAGATCTTGGTGTGCTTCATCACTGTAGTAGTTATGACCTGATTTAAATCGTAATTAATTACACTGAATTTTCCAAACTGCTCTGTTCTACCAGAAACATCAACATATCGGTACAGATCTATGGGCAAAGGGGTTTCATTTATCACAGCTTGCATGCTGGTGACGCGGAAGTTGTTGTAGCTGTAGTCAAACCGAGCATTCACAAGGCCTTCTTCACTGAATCTGAAAATCTGGCGCCCAATAAGAGGTCCTGAAGGGATCAAAATAAAAATAATGAGAACAAAGCTAGGTGCTCAACACTGAACAATCAGAAAGTTCTAGTGTTCTTTTCTTTAGTATGGATGCTTTTACATTCAAAATAAAATATTAGAGATTGACCTCTGATATCTAATGCCTGGGCATCTCATCTCATAGATATATATATTCTCATAGTTGTGGTCACCAAATATGAAAAAATTTTAAATACTGTATATTATAGTTATAGAATAATTTAACTATAGGAACTTTAGAAGTAATAACCCATCCAGTAGTTGAGGTGATGAAACTGATATTATAAACATGTTTTTTTAAAAACAATTACAGACAAAAATACTTTCAGTTTATTTAACCTGTGCTACAAAGTCAGAGGGTCAGGTTTTGACCAATTCCAGCATTCAAGTAACTGGATTTGGGCATTTTATAAACCGAAAGGATGAAGTATAATCAAAAGTTGTGACTTTTAAAGACATGTTGCCATCAACTGAGGCTTATAGAGGTTATTATAGGGCTTGAGTTAGTTTCAGTGAGACTCATATCTTGCAGCTGCATCTTTGGGAAGATTTGGTGGTGAGTAGGGACTGGTACACAGTTAGACTAGGTACCTAGAACTCAACTTTCTTGAGAGCTGAGACACAGAAAGAGAAATGTACTGTATGTTTTTAAGGAATCAGCTTTCATGTCACTTATGTTTTTCATTTTCAATGGAAGATAATTTGATAATGCAAGTGAAATTTGGTTGAATTGAAGAATGTCTATAGGTTAATGCTTATATCTCAGACTGTGGCCAGCAAAAATTTCATAAGACTGATGTGGTTGTATACATCACCACCCTTTCACAACAAACCTGTTTGCCTGTATCTGATTGTGCAAATGAAGCCATCGTGCATCAGGTGTATTGTCTTAATCACTCCAGAAGACTCTTCATATGTTAATGTGACCTGGGTGGTATCATAGAGAATCTCGGACAGCCTTGCTTGCTTGGTGTACTTGTATAAAACTCTGCGCCCTGTCCCCAGCTGCAGGGTCTGTAGTAGTCGGCCATCTCGACTATAGTCTTGGATAAAAGAAGTGCTACTGTCTGGTGGGGAGTAGATGTTCCGGTAGTAGCCCACTGAAAGCATGGTTTGTAAACTGTGGCGCACCATACTAGGCATGGTGACTGAGAGCAGACAATCCGATTGGTCATACTCAAAGATATAACGCCGCTGGCTATGTAAGAGAAGCATCACAGACTGAAACGAGACAAAGGCACGACAGCATAATAGTACCATTGGAGTTCAGGAGATTAAAGAAAATACACATTCATCCATTCAACACAAATTTATGGAGCACTTACTGTGTGCCAGGCACTGTGGTGGACCCTAGTGGATGCAGTAGTGGGCAATAATGTGTCTATCTTAAACTTACAGTTTAATGGAAGAGAAAGACAACCAGACAATTATAATATAGTGTGAAATGTGTTATGACAGAGGAAGTACAGGGCGCTTACGGGAAGCGGAGGAAGAGCAGCTAACTCAGACTTAAGACGTCAAGAAAGGCGTCCTGGAGGCTGGGACATCTGAGTTGAGACATAAAGGGTGACTAGGGGTTGCCCAGATAAAGGCAGGGTGGTGGGTGGAACAGGATGGGGAGAGTATTCCTGACACAGGGCATAGCACTGTGAGGGTCAGGATAAGAAAGAGAACATGGCTTTTTCAGGGAATGACAGGAATTTTGTGTGGCCAGAGTATGGGTGTGTTGGAAGGGGTGGGTGAATGGCAAGAGCTGAGGCCAGGCAGGTAGGCTGGATCTAGATCACACTGGGCTTTCTAAGCCACGCTAAGGAGTTTGGACTTTAACCTGCTGGCAACAAGGAAAACGCTGAAAGCAAATCGAAGGACAGGGCAATCCAGTAGGTATTCCAGAAAGGTTACTATTGCTTCAATGTGGAGGTGGATTGGAGGGAGGTAAATGGGGGGCAGGGCATGCCACATATTAAGTATTAGTCACCAAAAAATACTTATTGACTTTATAGAGGTGTCTTTCTGAAAAGTTGTATATAAAATATTACTATTACAGTAGTCCCCTCCTTATCTGCAGTTTTGCTTTCTGAGTTACCCACAGTCAACTGCTGTCTGAAAATATTAAATGGAAAGTTCCAGAAATAAACAATTCATGAGTTTTAAATTGCACACTGTTCTGAGTAGTGTGATGAAATCTCACGCTGTCCTTCCCAGGATGTGGATCATCCCTTTGTTCAGTGTATCCACGCTGTATCTGCTACCCGCCCGATAGTACAGGAAATATCAGTATATATGGGGTTCCATACTATCCACAGTTTCAGGCATCCACTGGGGGCCTCGGAACGTATCCCCCGCAGGTAAGGGGGGACTACTGTATTGCTCTGCAATTCGTGTTTTAAACTATATTAGGGAAACATGCCATTAACAGTGAAGACTTCTCTGGTTATGCAAGCCCTCTCCCCCAAACTGATCTGTATTTCAGAAACAGTTATTTGTTGAGGTATAATGCTTTGCACGTTATGGGTGCTTCATTGATATTGGTTTATCTTATTTTAATTTTAAATATAGACATAAAAAGAACACTATTGTAGGGAGAACTCAAACCCTATTTCTAATTGAAAAGCATTTAAGCCTCATCTTTCAATAAAAATAAAAATTGTTCACCCCTGGGAATTCTGATATATCTCCCTAAGGGAGCTTTTACCCCTCCTTTCTTGAGAATTGGCTTATCAAGCAAAAAGATTTAGTTGAGCTTTATTTTCTGAAGTTTCTGTTATGAAAACAATAGGTATCTTTTCATTTTCTAAATATAAATTACATAGTTATGAATATGAATTACATAAGCATATATAATGTACTTTTAAAACTTCTAAGTATGAAATTATACTCTAATATTGAACATGCTTCTTGAAACTGCACGTCATCCCTGCTCGTCTGAGAATTGATATGGAATCGCATGTCAGTACTGTGAAGTCAAAGTCAGCACTTATTTGCTTGTTCGCTTATCCTTTCCTTCTTTTCCACCAAGTACTCTGCCCGGGGATACAGAGCTGTGTGGAAATCCTATCACCTCATCACCTGTGGACACCCTGTAGCTCCAGAAAATCTGCTGAACAGAAGGCTGGAGACTTGGAACTCCTGCGGGGGCACGAGGACACAAAGGGACCACTGAGTCCTTGACCACGGCAGAACTCAACAGAACCTGGGAGGAAATTGGTGGGAAATGCCTTTGCATCACCTCTATGCTGAAAGCCAGATTTCTCAGCTACTTTCCACTCTCTTCTGTCAATTTGCCATGAACAAATGACATCTGTCACCTGCGATGTGGGCCAGGGACAATCACCATATGGCTCGCACACATTATCTAGTACCAGCCTGCCTGGGCCAGGCCTTTTCCAGTCGCTGTACCAGCCTTGCCAAACATTTATAGCACATCGCTATTGTGTTCTCTCCCTGCTCTCATCCTCTGCGCTGCAGTAAACTACTGCCTGACCCTGTTCCTGGGTGGTGCTGATGCTGCGCTGTCTCAAAAGCTCCCTGGTCTGTTTTAAAGCTTCCTGCCAATGGCAAAAATGTGGATGATGTGATTAGAAATCTCATGAATGTAGCCGTTGCGTTGCCAGACTACCATTTAGTTCTCACTTGCCTGCTTTTTCACTTTGGGTGGGCATTATTATCAGCTCTTTCAAAAACAATACTTATGAGTCCATCCAGTGCCCATAGTGCAGCTATACGGTAAAAGGCCATTTCTTATTCGTTGAAACAATGGAGTGGGAGACTTTGTATTTTTTAAAAATTGATTGTGAGATCCGAAAAGACTGACATCATTGTAAAGAAGAAAACAAGAACAATCATGGCTGTATACTCATTTGAACACGAGTAGAAATGAGAAATGGCAGAAATTTGAAAAATTAAAGCATTTGAATGACCACCAGATGGCAGTCTGGGGCCACCTGGAAGCACAAGCCAAAGGCTGCATTCTCTCCCTCGAGGCAGCCTTTGAAAATTTCAGCCCCAAAGAGGCAATTTTGTGTAAATGTATCAGACTAAAGCATCTTATTAAATGATTATAAAATATATTTAAATGTATTTAAAAATGAAGTTCTTAAGAACAATTTTAGGAAACGGAAAGATGTAAATGTAAATTTACTGTAATACAAAATTTTAGCCCCACAAGTCTTCAAAATATAATTAACTCAGGGAAGGCTCATAAATCAAGATAGAGAATTAATGGCCGCACAGAGAAAACTTAAGAAACAATAATTGATTTTTTTAAATAGAGATGAGATCATTTAAGCCACCGCAGCTATTAGCCAAATAATTATTTTTCTCCTAATGGCTACAAATCATTGCGCATGAAAATGATACGAGTAGTTTTTACTTACTCTAGAGGAAGTCAAACAATTTTTACAAAATTTCTGCACATTAAAGTGAAATATCTGCTGTTTGATTTTTAATATATCATGGTATAGGGATGGCAAGCAAATTTACAGAGGCACTACCAGAAGTATTTTGAGGTATAAAAAGAGACTTATATTTTAAAGTTTGAGAACTCTTACTTCAAAATATACTACTAGAGCCAGCCTCTTTGTCTTGCTCTGCCCCAGACATAGTGAAAGAATGTTCCAGCGAAGGCCATGTTAAAGAGAGGACTTTAAAAGAGCACGGGGAGGCACAGAACCTCATCACCTCACTGGAAAAGTTACATGTTAACTGGATTTTGGTAAATTGAATATTCTTTACCTTTTCTTTCTAGAATCACAATTTCAAAGTTGCTTTAATTTCCTTCCTTTTTTCCTTCCTTCCGTTCTTTCCTGTTTTAATTTACCTTCAAGTAGCAGTAACTGCCAGCCTTTAAGTTCTTCGATTCATATAAATACTAGAATAAATACTAGAATGCACGATTTAAATGGAAAGGAATTAACTTTTATTGAATGACTAGATGTGCTGGGTGCTTTATATTGTTATTTCATTTAATCGCTGCTTCTATTCAGTGAATTAATTATTATCACTGGTAATAATAATGTTAATAAAATCAATCTCGTGATAGATGATTTTTGGAAAGTAAAGAACCATTCCATAATTATGTGTTTTGTAGGTTCTGAGTTTTGCATAATAGCATTGCTTAAGTCACGGGCTATCTTGTAATTAGAGAACAAATTAAATGTGAAATCAAGAAAGGGAGAAAAGTCAACTAAAAGGCACAAGCGATTTGGCTGTCTCACTGGTCAGTTAACTAGTCTTTGGAAGTCACTGGGGCTTTTCTCCATACATTGTTTTGTGACAATAAGGTCTTATTTCTGTCTACTGCAGACACTGACAGTCTCAGGGAGCTCTCTTTGTTGTGTTTTTTTTTTTAAAGAATTATTGCCAAGTAAGTTTCTGTAGCAAAACGGACGTATGTGAAGTTTGCTTCACATCATTCTTTGCTGAAATAACTGTGCTGAAATAATCAGTTAATCCAGAAAAGGGGAACAATAAAATTGCTTCATTGGTGTCAGAGAAGAGGCTAAATAACTATATGCAGGGCTGAAATTTAAGTTTCAACAGGCTCTTTTGTCATCGTATGGACAGCCTAAAGGGAAAGTTCTACGAGACATAGAAGCAACTGTCTACAGGCAGTTAGCTCAGTGGCCAGACTGTGGCGCTAATGAGGCTGGGGCTCTGAGTTCAAAACCGTACATACTTCTTTTTTTTTTGGCTGTGCCCGGCGGCTTGTGGGACCTTAGTTCCCCCGACCGGGGATTGAACCGGGCCCTGGCAGTGAAAGTGCTGAGTCCTAACCACTGGACCACCAGGGAATTTCCTCAAAACTGTACATACTCATAATGAGTGCCAGCTCCTTCACTAGTCACACGTAGACCTGTGGGAGGATCAGCACAAACCTATCCTCATTCCTGGAAAGACTAATCAGCCTACATTCTGCTAGAATCAGTGGCATCTTTTTTTCATATGATGGTCATCATTACATGCCTTGCCTCTGTGAACGTACACCAAATCTTTGGATTCAGTTAATTTTTTTTTTTTTTGCGGTACGCAGGCCTCTCACTGTTGTGGCCTCTCTTTGTGGACAGTAGTCATACGATTTTGCCAATCATCCTTGTTACTAAAATTCAAAAGATAAAAGATCTACTCTGTAAAATTCAGATGTTCCCAGTGTAGAGTACAGATTATAGAGATTTCATCGATTTCTTCAGCAGAAAAGGACAGGAGGTGGATACAGCAGAGAACTCCCTCCTTTACCCTGGCTCCCAAGTGGAGCTCTGCTTTATCTCCTAGGCATTCCCAACTTGGCAAATTCCCCAGCGACTGGCTCTGGGAAATAATACAATAGTTTTATAATAACATACAACCGCTGGCACACTTTTTTTAAAAAAAAACTTTCAGGGGTATATCAGAAAGGCTTAGCATCATTATAGTGAAATTTTGCGATGTGAGCTATGAATGCCCATGACTTTTCTAAGAACTTCTAGGGGTGACTTTGCACTGACTACCCTTGAATCCTCAAGGGAAGGCATCTTCCAATTTTCCCAGAAATTAATTCAGGACTGATAAGCTGAATGGATAGATTTGGGAAAAAAGAGACAGTATCTTAGGACATCAGAGATTGAGATGGTAGATAGAGATCAATTTCTCTTATTGTCTTCTGATACTGATCCGGCTAGAAATCATTTTGCTGTGGGGGGCTGATGTTTGACAAATGGATCCAGTGATGGGATTAAAATCCTTGCCCATTCCAAGCAGACAGAGGCCACGAGCTCCTATTACAGATGCTACTGGAGAGTCATTACATACAAAGGACTATTACCAACGAGGCCCCACTGCTACCATTTCCTCAGACCGATTACTTGGGAAAATTAGTCTTCAAATGTATACCGCTAAACTTTTACTGACTATCCTAACAAAAGTAGAAGTCCTTATCCTCTGCGTAAGAGGCTCTTTTCCGGAGCTGCGATACATTAACACGCAATTTTATAATTTTCTACCTATTTTACTTCAGTGTGAGCTTTCATAATAATAAAGATACATTTTCAGGAGCATGAACAAATATGCTCAAATGAGGAGAAATCGAAGCCATTATCCTGACTTCAGTTTGAAAGAGTACCTGGCAGAGCGTGGGGTTGGGGAAAGTTTTCAGCTGAAAAACAGCTTATCCTTACAGGTATGATTTGTTGTTGTTACTTCTATAGAGCAGAACAGCCAGAACACAGACTTTTCTCCTGCAGGTCCTCAGCAAGGCGGGTAGTTCAGTGCCGCTTTCAATATTCTCATTCGGGAACTCAGAACTAGTTTATTTCCCCTACATGCTTACCTTTTCTAAGTAGGTATAGCTCCAAATTTTCCCATCAGCCCAAGTTCTTGAAATGATTTTTCCACTCTGGTCATATTCCATTTTTTCATTCCACGTCCCTCGTTGAATAAACGTCACCAATCCTGAAGGTGAATATGTGATATTCACTTCATTATATCTGCTTATGGGAGACCACAGAACAGGTCGTCCAGTCTGGTCATAAAGAATTCGAAGGGTGAATTTCCGATGGTCGTCATAGATCTTTCCTGTGCGAGTCATATGATCAAAATCTATGGAGAGCAGGTTTCTGTTATGGGCCTACAAAAAAGAGATAGGAAATACATTTGAAGCACTGCCTTAGCTCCCCTCATCAAGTGCATTCACAATTGAAAAGCTTTTTCTGTTTCTCCAGCAATGGGGTGTCTCTTGCCTTTGAATCCACCGGCTTCTCCTCGGATGACACTTGTCTTTATTCTCCCAGCAGACTGTACAGACTTGGAAGGTTGGGGCTATGTCTTAACTACTGGTATGTGCTAGCTCCTCAACATACGGTTATTGATTGCTTTTGCCCAACTCAAGCCTCAAGTGTGCTGATACAATTTTCAGTGATTATGTAATCTTATTTTATGTGAGTCAGATGCCTACCAAGGAACGGGATTTCCTCCCCCTCTTTTACCAATGAAGTGGCTAAAACATAGAATGGTGAGTTATTTACATAATTAGAAATTAGAAAAAATGAATATAGAGCGCCCCCTCTAATTTATACAGAGAATCCCTTCTTAGGCTTCCTGTTCCTCTGGGCATGGAGCTTTATCACTTCACATCTATCACAGGGGAACACAGAGCAACTCAGATTGTCTCCTGAGATGGAAGCCCACTCAGCAATGTTTTACCAGAAGGTAAATGTGGCAGGTGTTGGTAGGCCCCCCAGTATTTGCGAGGGTGACACCACTCAGCGAGGTTAGAGCATGGAGTTCAATCTGGGTACCAAGTTTAGAAACAATTAGTAGCTCGGCTTGGTTCTGGTCTTAGGCTTCCTTGACTGCACGCCAGCATCCCCTCTGTGTACTTCACGGCCCCAAAGTTGTCCAGAGAAATCCTGCCTCTGAGGAAATTCAGCCTGGTCTACACAAGATAACCAAAGAACTAAATGGCTTAGTTAAAAAGTTTTTAAATTGGACAAAAGGCCACTTTTACTGGGTTTTCAAAGCAACTGGACAACTGACATGATCTGTTCTACTCTTCAGCTAGTAATGCCAATGTTTGGCACTCCCACCAGTAACTGCTATAGCAAGCTGATGACAACACAGAGCTGAAGAAGGCTCTGGAAGACAGGGGTTTTGAAGTAGGTGGGTGAGAGGCCAAGGGGAGGGCTTTAAAAATTTGTTTTATTTATTTTAGTTTAGCTCAGTTAAGTTTTCATTTCAGTGAGTCGTTTGTTTTGTTTTATTATAACTTTTTATGTGGAACTAGTCTGACTCACAAGAAGTTGCAAAAGTGGGGAATTCCCTGGCGGTCCAGTGGTTAGGACTCCAAGCTCTCATTGCCCAGGGCCCAGGGTTGATCCCTGGTCTGGGAACTAAAATCCCACAAGCCTCACAGTGCGGCCAATAAAATAAAATATGTAAATTGTTGGAGCTATTAAAAAAAAAAGAAGTTGCAAAAATGATACAGTAGCCATGTACTCTTCACCCAACCTTCAAGGAAAAGACTTCTTTTGGGTGAAGGGGGTCCAAGCATATCTGGAAGGAACCTTCTAGGTTCTTGGCTGAGACCCCCACACACTGCCACCCTCACCCTGTAATAAAAACAGGAGAAAAACAAACAAGTTTAATAACATGTATACCTCCTGTACACATGGGAGAGACCCAGGGGAACTGATTAACTCTCCAAAATGGCCCAAGTCACCACCTTATATACTATCTCCAACTAAAGACAAAAGATGTTGGGAGGAGGGAGCCAGTTATGGGAGGTGACCAGGCAAAGCACAGTAAACAAGGGTAAGGTTGTTATGCAGATTTAAGTCATTGCTCTCTCCATCAGCCTAAAATAATCTTTATACCAAAGAGGCATATTTTGGGGTGGCAAATTCTTCTCCCCTTCAAATAAAAAAGGAGAAACTTTGAGAAGTATAAACAACAGTGGCTCTCGGGAGTCAGGAGACTGAATTAGCTGCTTGCCTGTGCACCAGCCATCTCTTGTATTCGGGCCTTAGTTTTCTTATCTGTGAAAAGGGAGTGATATTTACCACTCTACACCACACACCTGTGTTAAGAATTAAATGAGATTACATATACGGGTACCTGGTGATGTGTAAAAATAATATTAGTAATTGTTGTTTTTAGATATCATTACTTTTTGCATTTTAGTTAGGCTTCTGAATGGGCCCATGTGTCAGATTCCAAGGACTGTAGCTTGGTGTATTGGATTTATATCTGTAGGAACTGTCAACACGATCCTGAACAGAATATTAAATATCTGTTTAATGAGGTAGGGGAAAAAAACCAACATTAGGATTTGACTACATTAATCATAGTCGGACTAAATGGATTCACTAGCTATTCAACTAAACTTCATGTTCATTTATAATTTTTGTGGTCAAGGATTTCTTTAAATATCTGAAAGCTATATACTGTGTCCCCAGAAAAACGCACATAAGTACATAAACATTTTAAACAAAATCTCAAGTGGGATCTGAAACTCAAACATGAAACCTTTAGGGGTCTTGAGTCCAATTTCAAAATCCTGGCTCAGAAAGAGGTTTTCAAAAATTTTTTGTTAAACTTTTTTTTTGCTATTTAAAAACTTGAGATATAACTGACATATACCATTATATTAGTTTCAGGTTCAATATGTGTATATATTGTGAAATAATTACCACAAAAATCTAGTTAACATCCATCACCATATGTAGTTACAACTTTTTTTTCTTGTGATGAAAACTTTTAAGATCTACTCTCTTAGCAACTGTCAAATATACAAAACAGTATTATTAGCTATAGTCGCCATGCTGTACATTGCATCCCCAGGACTTATTAATCTTTTAACTGGAGCTTTGCACCTTTTCACCCCCTTCATCCATCTCGCCCACCCTTCACTACCTGCCTCTGGCAGCCACCAATCTGTTCTCTGTATCTATGGCCTTTTTTTTTTTTTTTTGATTCCACATCTAAATGAGATCCAGAGTTTTTATCTTAGTGCCCTACATGACTGCAAAGCCAGCATTCTCATTTCAGACTCTGGTTTTCCTTTGCTCAGTAATTTTGTGCACTTTGCTTTTTAAAATAACCTCCTTAACTTCTACCCCCATCATAAAAGTGATATTTTTTCATTGCAGAAAAATTGGAAAATATAGAAATATACAAAGAAAATAATCACCTGTAATCCCATCCTTCAATGTGAATCATTGCTAGTACTTTGCAGCATTTCATGCCCACTTTTGTTTTGCATAATCTATGCCCATACACTTAAAGAATACAATTAGAATTATACTTAAAGTTTTGTGTCCTACTTTTTCAGCTAATGTTTTGTCTTGAGCATTCCTCATGTTATTAAATATTCTTAAAATGTGGATTTTAGTGGTTACATAATATCTTCTACATGGTAAGCATTTATTTTTCCTTTCTCCTATTGTTGGAAATTAGAGTTTTTGTTTTCCATTTTTCTTTTATCTTTCATGTTCTGTTGAACATTTTTGTAAATAAATATTTCCTTAATACAAAACCCTATAAGGGAAATTATGGGGTCAAATGATAACGTATTAAAGACTCCTGATGCAACTCGAGATATTACTTCATGGTGCACAAAGGTTTACAAATTTATGCTCTTATTAACTAGCAGTGGAAGAGTTCAACTCATTCCATCCTTACCACCATTGAGTATTGTCATTGTTAGTATGCTTTTCCCAATATGAGAGTGGGAAAATAGTATGTTACTGTGGTTTAAATTTGCATTTATTTGGTTACTAATGAGGTTGAACCCTTTTAAACGTCTATTCGCCACATGTACGTCTTCTATGAATTGTCTGCTATTTTCAACGTCTTTTGGTTTCAGTTTCTTCATCAGCCAGCTGGGGCTAATGATACTTGCCATTAATTTTGAGCTTCTGCAAGAAAAAAAAAAAAAAAGGACAGCAAATGTTCCACGCCATGAATTCCAGAAGACTAGTGATTAGATACTCCAATTATTTGGGAGGAAGTCTTGTCAGTTGCAGGGGTAGGTTTCATTCAGGGAATAGAGCCACAGATTGGGAAACATGACTCTTTAACCATCTGTAGCCAATGTGTGCAGTGCCGTGGTGCATAAATACACAGTAAACTGCTGTTATCACCTAAAAGGGGATAGAGAAGCGCGTATTTCCTGTCTTTTGATACACAGGGCTTGGAAACCTATACGAAACCAGGTGTTCTTTCTTCTACTACCTTTCCTGTGGTTTTATAGCCACATATGTCTAACTGTAATACTGTTCATTTACAATAGCTGTAAAATATCCATGTACTCCCAGAGACGGTTGTAACTGTTACAATTTATGTTATAATGATAGTTAAAGAGCCAAAGTAACAAGTGATTTCCAGTTCAACTAAATTTGTGGTTTTATTTGTCTGATAGATTAAGTTTACTACTCAAGAACACATTTCTTAATAAAGTCATTACAGCTACACAAGCAGGGACCACTGTTAAAAATCCACTACAGGCACTTCCCTGGTGGTGCAGTGGTTAAGAATCCGCCTGCCAATGCAGGGGACACGGGTTCGAGCCCTGGTCCGGGAAGATCCCACATGCCACGGAGCAACTAAGCCCGTGCGCCACAACTACTGAGCCTGCGCTCTAGAGCCCGCGAGCCACAACTACTGAAGCCTGCGCGCCTAGAGCCCGTGCTCTGCAACAAGAGAAGCCACCGCAATGAGAAGCCCGCACACCACAACCAAGAGTAGCCCCCGCTGGCCGCAACTAGAGAAAGCCCGGGCGCAGCAACGAAGACCCAACACAGCCAAAAATAAATAACTAAATAAATAAAATTAAAAAAAAAAATCCACTACAAAGCGAGCAGAAGAAAACTCTGCCTAATGTTCTTTCCCTGCCTGCCAAGACTTCTGCAACCATGCTTCTGTTTCTGGATAATGCACTCGGATATTCAGATGTTGCTGAAACGCTAGTTTTAAAGTCAGGTTTGGAAGATAATGTAAAATTCGGCTAAGAGCTGAAAGGGGATGAAGGAATTGAAGATGCCACAGCCCCCCACCCTGCGAGTCTCCTATGGAACCCACATGTGAGAAGGCTGAGAGAAAGAATGCTAGGCTGACCGCCTTTGACTGCTG